TGAGAGTAGTCATTCGATGATTTTATTAAAAAAACTGATCATCATAACTATATTCTAATCACATAATGATGGGTCGCTCTGTAGTTACGATAGTCTAATCTAACGAGGTGTTATAGGTCTAGAAGACCTTTCTAAAGAAGTGAACTCTCTTTTAACCTCGTAGGCTGATGGTAATACTTAGTAGTTGGCGATGGTTAAATCGTCATCATATAAAATTAAGTGAGTTTTTTGACGTACTTGATAAAGTCGAAAACATTAGGTACTACTGGTGACTTCTGAATATTAAAACCTAGCACACGGGTCGTTAACCTCGTTATCTAAAAACTAATACAATTTACGAAAATAGGAGCATTGCACTTCTGTTTATCAGGGAGTGGAACTAATTTAGACACATCATGTGTTTTTATGGGAAAGACTGGCAAATGAGCACACCGATCAACTGATGATGAGTGCGCCGCCCATGGACATTCGCAGCACCAGAGGAGATATGTATTATTTTTAAGGGCGGAAAATCATCGAATGACTGCTCCCGCCTTTTTTTTTTTTTAGGGACAAGCCCGCCACAACCTCCCAAAACCGCTGCAACTCCTGTAAGCCAGGATCAGTAGAGGTAGATACACCGCCTTGGTGAGGCGGGAGGGAGTGTCAGACTCTTACTGCCTAAAAACCACCCAGTTCCTACTCCTGCGTTTTGAGCCGGAGTCCCGGTAACCTGATAGGTTCTCCGCGACTCCGAATCGGCATCAGACCTGTTGGGCCCCATCCGTGGTGGTCTGATGGCTTTTTGAGGCACGCTCGGAACGCGAGAGCAGTTTTATATATTGTCGGCTTTTTAAGGATTGGGGTATTGGGGATATTGAGGGAGAGGATTAGGTATCTGGCTTCGTTATGCTTTGAAACAAAACGCATGTTTACATAATTTGAAACTAACTATCAATTATAATCCTTTAAGAATGTAGAGTAAAAACGTTGATTCAATGACAAATGTCAATCAATGAATGTAGTCGCATAGAAAAAACATTGCAAAGAATCATGGCTATGTCTATTATGAAAGTTGTCATTTCATCTACTACCAAATACATTAATGTGACATTATTGTTGCGCAAATAAAAATCTACTGATACAATTGATCATTGTACATTTTGCAAGCGCACTTCTCTTACTTAAATTAAATGGCAATTTCGGAGACCCATTTAATTTTCTAACAATAATAGACCATTTCTGCAATGTCATTGCATCGACGTAAAGTCTAAACACTTTATTTATCGACAAAGTGACAGTTAGTTCTTTTGTTAAACACTAGTTCGGCTGATAGACGTCAACTATGTGTCCACGGGAAATAAAATGAACGTGAATTTTCGATTTTTTTTTTTGTAAAAAACAGAATTTTAAACAAAATGAGAATCGACAAATGAAATAATTGCTTACTATTTATAGTATTTTCGGAAAAAATGCGATTATACATATAAAAAAACTAGTCTTTCTTGAGTTTTCGACTTATCTAAGTTTCGACTGTTTTCTAGCCAAGACTATGCACGGATGACTACCAAATGGGCAGGTAATGATGCGTAACTGTCAGTATATCTAAGTAAATTCATTTTTGCGCGAATATAGGTAAATATGACCTTCATCAGATCGCCCTTAAGCAATTTACAATAGAATACAGCCTTCGCACGGTTTCAGAGGTTTGTGTAAGTTGAGCGCTCGTGCAGTATAGACCTCTATACGTTTTTACCAACCACATAACTAATGTTACGTTCGAAATTTAACTTGACATCTCAGTGACGAATATTTTTTTTAGTGAGCTGTTATTTTTGTGTGTGCCAGTGCTGTTAATTCAAATTTCGAAATGTGTAACATAAATCCGTATGTCAGTTGGTAAGTTCTTTGTTTATTTTTATTTTGTTTGTTCTTGAATTTATGTTAATTCATAATTATGTTTCTTCAAATCTAGACCGAAATTAATCCGGTCGGAATTACGAAAATATCGTAGGTGTACTAGATACATAATTTACATAATTATATATAAGGAATAGAGAGGGTCACTTCAATATCTGAAGTGACCTAATTTCTATAGAAATACGATTCAAAATTTCAAATTTAGATTCAAAGTTAAATATGCTTTGCCTGTCGAATGGTCGCAAGTGCGACCGCTACGAAGTATGAACCTACTCGGGAAAAGGCAGGCGACTATTTTACTTTTTTGAAATAGGTACACGCAGTCTACAAACATCTGAAGACTCCGCCCGGTATATGACAATAGGGTCACCCATTATTTATGAAATGGTGGAAAATATATTAGTAAATTGACAATGTAACTTTTTTGATGTGCCATAAATAAATAGTTACGTCTAAGTTCACATAACAGATAGGAATCTGCAGAAAATAGGTAGGTAGGTACACATAATAATCTAGAGGTAGGTACTTTTCACTTTTCACAAGTTTGAAGAGTGTATTGCAAACACGGAACAAAATGTTAGATTCCTTCTTTTAATGAGAATTTTTGGAGAAAAATATTACAATATTATTTAATAGGTGTTATGAAAACTATGTTAACATAATCGTAGTACCTAGGTACCTAAGTAATTGGACCGTAAAAGACAATGCTTCATTATGATAAATCTTTAGTTTAAATTGCATCTTTAGTTAAGCAGTATCATTTGCATTTTAGTTTTGTAGCTTCATTTTGATTTCAAGTTTAGGGAAATCATTATGCCGTGTTATGCCAGCAGAGTAGAATATATATGACACGACCCCGAGTCTATCCACCCGTGCTCTTTTTTGAGAGGGACAGTCATTAATAGACTTCTCCTGTCTTGAGTAAAGCGAGAGGGAGAGTCAGGCTCTTACTGACTAAAAACCACCTTGTTCCTAATCCAGTTTTAGCCGAAGACCTGCAAGGTCATTTGCAACCATTTCAACCTAAGAATCTTTCTGATAAATTGGAACCTTTTTATACCACAATGCAACCCGTTTGCCACGCGAGGAGGTTATGGCACCCTCTCAATCCTATATACAGGAGAACCATAGTGTAGCAGTAATTTGTCAAGGTCATGTTGAAGATATTGATTCGTAGATTTATTGAGTTTGCCTCTTCAGGAATAGGTCAAGATATTATTTAGCGCTATATCTACATAGAACGGTTGCATGCAATGCACTGGTATTGAGGAAGTAAATTATCTCATTAGTCATGAGATTCGTTACACTATTTTGTCTTAATTACTTCGCTCGATGCACGGTTGTAAAATGAAATAGAAACAATTAGCTTTAGTTTAATTTGTTTGGTAAAGATGACCGGGTAATAAAACTGTACCTGTTTAGTATATTGATATCATAACTCGTCGTAAGACATATTAAATTAACATAAGTAGCAGCGCACCAGTCGCCGCGTCGCGAGTCGCGAATTACTGCTCTTGAATATGGGCCTCTAGCATTGCTTGAAACTAGTCGAGTTCCTCGTCGAATAATAATAAATTATTATTATTACGTACGTGGGTAAGCCGAAAAATATAATAAGACTGTAACTGTTGAAGAAAATATAATATGGGCTTTTAAATTTTTTATCTGGTTATTTACTCGTTTCTTGACGTAGATAAACTACCTAATGTATGTATGTACCTACGTATCAGGATGAAATGTGACACAGATCCATAGTTATATAGATTAACATCTGGAATACAATATAAGTAAGTCGGTAGGTACGTTACTTCGTACTGGCAATAAACGAATATTAAAATTTTGGTGTGAATATTAAAACTTGTTCTGCTAACCGTAGACGAAACCAATCAATCAATGATTATGAAAAGTATTAGCTGCCCTAAACTTCATTCACGTACAAACTCGTTCCTATGTTACGTACACAAATTAAACTACTATAGAACTTATCATTTAAAATGCTTCTCATCATTAAGTAGGTACTTACTGTACGTGTTACTGTGTAATAAGGGCATCGGGGGCCTGCAAATTCGAGGGCCCCGCAAAATCGAGGGCCCCGCAAGCTCGAGGGCCCCGCAAACTCGAGAGCCCCTGAAACCTGACCAATCACTACATATTATACCTCTAAAACATAGTCGCTATCCACCGTCTGCCTGTCCCTATGTATGCTTAGATCTTTAAAATTACGAAACGGATTTTGATGCGGTTTTTTTAGTAGATAGAGTGAGTCTTAAGGGAGGTTTATAAACTATAAATAGAATTTTGTAAAAAAACTCCTTTCTTCGGAATATAAATAAACCCAGTTCGATTGTAATGAACGGCGGTTATAAAAAGTTTGCTAATAATTCCTCCTCCGCTTAGTATGTATGATACAAGAACCAATAGACAAAATCATCAGTAACTATGCTATTATAGTATACAACAAGAATACGTTTACCTGATAGCAGCCGTGCGATTAACGTTTCATAATTAATTCTTTAGTACATATCGCGTTTATATTTTCACGATACATAAGTAAAACGTGCCAATACTTATACGTTATCTATGAGGTACTATTTTAAATTACCGTGTAAAAAGTTATTGCTTTACTAATAAATATTTAAATTGGACCTTCTTTTACGACTTGGAGACTATTTTGGATATCCTTATTGCCTGTCATGTTTTTTTTAACCGTTGCTAGGAGATGCGTTTATATAACCTTTCAGGCACCTAGCAAACTTTAGCAAACTTAGATATTATTATTAGGAAGAATAACAATTCGTGAACCTCAGAAATAACTGTTTTTGGTATCGCGTCAAATGTACAGGTCATAACTGTTTAGTATATTTTATAAAAAATACCGCCCATGATTTGTACCTTTGTTTATTGATAATGAATTCCTATTTTTTAAGGACCAATGGCTTCTCCCGCCTTTGGGGCAGGTGAGAGAGAGTTTCAGACTCTTATACTAACTAAAAATCACTGCGTTTCTACTCCTTTTCCGGCTTCGAGCCGGTGCCCCGATAACCCTAGTTATTTGCACCTCTAGAGCGGGCATCAGCCCTGCTGGACCTCAGCTTGTGAATTAATATCAAAATTGAATATAATTTTCAGGAAACAATGGTGGATCATCTTGGCGATGATATCGACAACGATATCAGGGTATCGACAGTCGCCATCACACATTGTGTTCATCATGGTCGACGATATGGTAAATATAGTGTTTTACTATTACTTATGTACTTTTAATTTAAGTTCAGTAGATACAATATTGTTTAATGTAAATGAAACTTAAGAGGTCCTATGTAGTATGCTAAAATCGTGTAATTTGGTTTTCCATTGTTTCTGTCTATCCCAGGGGACAAATATGTTTATAGACTGGAGTCTTTAAAATTAAGTATACTGGTTATCACTTGACGTCGAAATTCCTTTCTCAGATAAATGCCATTATAACTGTATAAGTAATCTGCTATATGTGTCCCTTTTGTACTTCCCCGGGCGAGGGGGTTCCATGAGGATTTCCCACTTTGGGGTCAAAAAAGTCAATTGCTGAAAAAATCCTCTCAGGTGTTATTCCTAGGCAGTTCCATTGGCTTTTTCGGTTTTCCAGATATTTCGCAGCATCAGCACAAAGTCCCAAATTGTACTCTTTGAAAAAATATGAAGTAGAGGCGATATGATTAAATTGTAATTATAGATAGTAGGATTTTACGGGAGAAGTCATTGGGTCATTACCTATGTAGTTGAAGGTCCATGAAGAACAACACGCTATGGTATTTAAGAAAACTGATTTGAGCTCTTTAATTATCGTGATTGTATGTAAAATTTACTTGATGGAACTATTATTAAGAAAAATATTACAATATCAATTAAAAACAAGTTTTCGTTTCCCTCCCGCTATGATATATTGTGGTTATTGTGAATTATTATGACCGGATGTATGTATTTCTATATAAATATTGTATAATAATTATTCTTGTATTTATTTGCAATAAAATTATAAATAATTGCTATAAATAATATATTAAAAATCATTATTACATGTTGAGCTATTTTATCTCTTTAATAGAGAAAATTCATTAGAAAAACGCGTAAATAGTACTTACTATTGTTTTCACTTATTCTTTAATCGATGTAATTGATTAATGTACTTAGCTGGTGAAGAAACAATAAGGTAATGGTGGAAATGTATCTACCTAGTAATATGTCTACGGTACGATTGGCGCAGTGTGGTTGGGCAACTGGCTGCCGCGCAACGCGTCACGGGTTCGATTCCCGCGCGGAACAACCCTTTGTGTGATCCACAGATTGTTGTTCCAGGTCTGGGTGTCATGTGTATGTTAACTTGTATGTTTGTAAACGCACCCACGACACAACATTAAAAAAATATTGTTCTGCAAGATATACAGGTTTTACAATTGCGTAATTGTTTAATTAATATTTTACCTATATGCATAAAGTCACGCTTTTCTTTTAGAATGGTGTATTTATTTTAATGTCACACCATATTTTTTGTCCATTTTCCAAAAATTGAAAGTCATGAAAATTGGTCCAGTCGTTCTTGAGTTATGGTGTGACAAATGCGATTTTGTTTCCAAATATAAATATAACCTTATGAGCTTTCCTTAAACCTTCTGAAGTACTTTGTTTTTATTTTACGCAAAAGTAGATGAGTGTGCATATTTTTTGCCATAGATTATATTATTAGATTGACACCTCGTGCGAAACGAAAGTTACGGAAGTATTAGCTATGGTTGTTTAAAACTATAGTGTACTTTATGGTGTGGTATCTATAAAAAAATAAAAGTAATGATATTCTTGTGGCGACACCGCAAAATCCTTTGAATAATTCTGGTAATAATATTAGAGATAATAAGTTGCAGGAAAAAATGGGTATCAACAATGACTTTGAAGTTTGGGTTTCCTCTATAAGAGTAATTGATTTTTTCTATGTAATTAAGATATTTTGTGTCTGGCTATTAGGTACAAAATCTGTCTCAATATTACCAGCATAAGCTAATGAACCCTACTATAGCAGATATATCGCTATACCTATAAGAAGTCGCGGTGAAGCTAACGGGTTACCGGGGCTCCGACTCGACGTGCAGGAGAAGGAACGGGGTGGTTTTTAGTCAGTAAGAGTCTGACACTCCCTCCCGCCTCACCCAAGCCGGAGAAGTCATTCGATGATTTTCCCCCCTTAAAAAAATACATATGAGAAAACGAGGGGTGGGGGTAGGAACATTATGTTTTACCCTTACTTATGTTATTTAGACCAGGGCTGTCCAAACTATATACCCTCGCGGGCTAATTAAATTTCTTACAAAAGTTGGAGGGCCAGTAAAATATTTTCAGTTCTAAATAGTAATTTAAATATAGAAGATCCAACAGTCAAACTATTTACATATAGTTTTGTTGGACATGGCGTTAGATTATAAGGCATACCATGTACCTTTATTATTAATAAATAAATAAAATAAAATAATAATAATATAATGACGTTTAACATTATATTCTTTACTCACAGACTAAACTTGCACACAAATCAAATAATGAATTTTATTATTGTTGTTGCACATAGGATGAAGATGTTGAGATTAAAATGTGTGTCGCGGGGCATATGAAAATAAGCTGCGGGCCGCATGCTGCCCGCGGGCCTTTGTTTGGACAGCTCTGATTTAGACAACAGATAGTATAATATTATATAGTATAGAACAGATAATTGTTTATGGTTTTAACTGAAAAGTGATTATTACCATTAGAATCAGCACTAATGTGTTGAATAAGGAGTTTTGGTTACGGATTTATGATTTTCTATTGAAATAAATTAGAATATTGTTAGAATATTTGCAACGGTAAGTAAGATTGAAAGAATTCTAAACAATAATTCGAGCTTACGGCTATTAGACATTATTTCGTTCACTTAGGTATTTGCATTAAAATAAATAAGTAGTTTTATAAAATTGTTATTCGGTGATATTTTCAGCAGATGATTTTTAATTTCCCTTTATGAAGATTAACATTATTTGTGAATTTTACTAAAAACTAAAAAGGAGACTCCTAGTAGACTATAATTTTTTTTGAAAATTTTTTAATCCATTAAGTACTTGATCCAGAAATCAAAATGAAATCGAATGCTATGTACTTATTCGCACTTGAGACGACTTAACTAATGTGGTTTCAGTTGGACCTAAGTTTCGAAAAGGAATCTTGTGCCTGGATTAATTGAAATCAAAGCAGCCCCCGATAAGATCACAATATGGTAATATGGTACTACTGAGTCCAGGCGCCGCTTTATTCAATACGCTTGTCTTTACCTATTTGGTACTTATATTGTGTATTGTTTGGTACTGGACCATTTTAATGGCCCTTTTACTTATCTTTGGCATTTTGGGCCCATTCACTAGCATGTAAATGTCGAGCAAACTACAATTCGTGCAATAAATATATTAATCTACAACTCTGATCAGTTTGTTTCGATTTTAAGTCTTATTCGACAATTCGTAGCGGAAGGTTCTTTTACCTATCTATGTAAATGTCTTGTAGTTAATGGATTTAGACTATGCCTATGCGTACCTACCTAGTTCCTTTTACAAGAACTTAGAATTAGATAATAGCTTTATATTCCTACGAAATATAATATTATGGAGTTCAATTTTTTTAAGGGGGAAAATCATCGAATGACTCACAGGCGGGAGGGAGTATGAACCTCTTGCTGACTAAAAACCACCCCGTTCCTTCTCCTGTGTTTCGAGCGGAGCCCCGGTAACCCGTTAGGTTCTTCACGATATTATGGAGTTCAATGAATATTGCACTACGCAATAAAAATAAATAAATTTGAAGAGTGAACTGTGCAACTATGTTGCTAACTCACTATCTATTACCAAAATACGGCTACCTCCGTTATTCTAGACATCCTTTCGAAATTAAAACCCTAAAATACTTTATAAGCGTTCGTATTTAAATAATGTGCTAAACCCATTACTTATTCAATTAACATAATTATAACATTAAATTCATCTTTGTAATTGCAACTCATTTCACGGTCTAGTGAGAGAAAGAAACAATACTGAATATAGTAATTTCATAACAATAGTTGCATTGACAAGAGTTTTTTAGCCTGACCATGAATTTTATGATTTATTATTATTACTGTCACGTCATTGTACTGATTCCATTACGTATCAAGATACTAGATCAAGTTAAGCAATCTCAACATTTTCACGGTTAAACTGTCAGTTGTGTACGAATTCAGTCACGGTTCTGGATTTAGTATTATAACCATGATTAATCAATTTATTGTTAGGTATACAAATGACATAAGTGGTGATAAGTGGGTGTCACATTTTGTCTATTAAACTATTAAATTCACTTATGACGCATTTGTCTTTTTTTTTTTTAAGGGGGGAATATCATCGAATGACTGCTCCCGCCTGGGTGAGGCGGGAGGGAGTGTCAGACTCTTACTGACTAAAAACCACCCCGTACCTTCTCCTGCACGTCGAGCCGGAGCCCCGGTTACCCGTTAGGTTCTCCGCGACGCATTTGTCTATGTTTGATACAAAATTGAATATCGTCTGTATAGCCGTAATTAATTTAGTCAGATGGTAGAATATAGCTTATAGGGCCATTAGTAACTGCTCTGTATATTTTTTCTTGGAGCTCTAGGGCTTAACTATTGCCAATAGCTATCTGGACGGCAGCAATATTCTATAACATCTCATTGTCCTTTATGCAGTTGCAACATTATTAATATAGCCTTTTATCAGCAGAGAAGGATGTGTTTTAGCCAACGATGATGAATGTTTTTTCTACTACAAAATGATAAGTGATAATAATGATAACATATTTTCTATTCCAGGGTTGGAATGACGTATCATTCCACGGATCAGATCAAATTCTGACCCCAAACATAGACAGTTTGGCCTACCAGAGCGCTATTCTGCAACAGTACTACAGCGAAGCGATATGCACACCTGCACGAACTGCATTACTCACTGGGAAATACCCCATGCGATTGGGTAAGTGTTAATGTTTTTTGGTAATGTTTAATATTATATCAACAATATAACATTGATTATCATCGTATCTTCAAAAGTGAATAGACAAGCGTGTTTTATCGTTGACCTCATAACCTCTTATACTATCATCATTATCATGATCAACAGCATACATATAAATGCCCACTGCTGAGCAAAGCCTCTTCTCACACGAAGAAGGTTTGAGCATTAATCACCACACTTGCTCAATGCGGGTTGGTGATTTCAAACTTATGATTAGAAATTATAAGCCTAGGTTTCCTCACGATGTTTTCCTTCACCGATAATAATCTTAGAAAGTACACATAACTCGGATAAGTCTCATTGGTACTTGCCGTTAGTAGGCAGAAGTGGGCATCTTAAACCCACTGGCCACCACGACACCTATCATACTATCAAGCAAAAAGTTATCAAACGTCGATCCGATCTGCTACTGTTGCTCATATTCCACAGTTTCTTCTGCCATATTTCTCGATCTGTCATCATCCCACCTGCTTTCCTAATATGAATCAGGTCATGTCTTTTATTTCCTGAAGGTGCTCAATTGAATGTAACGCTCAATTTTTATAGCGCCTGACTTATTTTCCATGTAATATGGAAGCCTCTATTACTACGCATTGGATACATAACATAACATCACGCCTTTTATCCCCGAAGGGGTAGGCAGAGGTATACATTAGGCCACTGCACAATGTAACACCTACTTTTTCACAATTTATGTTATGAGTCCCATGCAATAGGGAGTGAGCCTATTGCCATATACTGGGCACAATTCCGGACTCCGTGCTACTAATGAGAATGTATAAAATACCCAGTAGTACTTTGCCCGACCCGGGGACCGAACCCGAGACCCCTTGCCCGCCATTGCACTTGCGACTCGGCCAACAAGGCTATTGGATACAATTTCATATTTTGTGCTCTGACTATTCGAAGTTAAATTAATGATGAATCCTTGCTTGAAAATTGTGTTTGTAATTTGTATGTAACAATGTAATAATATGACTCTAATTAATTATTTATATCATTTGAATATAAAATAATTTCATTCAAGAAAGTGCAATGGTATCGAAGGTGAACTACCGAATGAGAGTTGTTTACCTTCGATACGCAATGCTGTATAGGTATGCTTTCGCAAAACTAGGGCTTTTGGTAATTAAATTATATTTACATATATTGTAATTTTACAACTTTTTGTACATTAATAATATAAAGTAATTGCTTCATTCATACCGATGTATTGTAAGTATTTATGCGCTGTGGTCATGGTAGCAGTGTGAAGCAATAAATGAGACGGTTTTATTAACTTGTTGATTTTACGACTAAAATAAATGCTCGTAAAATTCTCAATATTTTGTATAATGTTTGTGATTTTTAAATTCTGTCTCCGTTTCTACTTAATATCAAGATATTCGTCTATTTTACGTTTACATCATATTCAGATTTAGAGCCTTATTCATTTATTTTTATCGGCGATAAGCTATTTATGTAGGAAGGTCTATCTAGACAAGGATGAAAATAAAACAATTGTATTAATATCGGAAGTGAAGAAAAACCAATGAGTATTTAAAAAACACAGTTTTTTTTCGTAATTTTAGATTAAATGAATACAATGCTTATTACTGATCATGATGTAAGGTTGTTTCCCGCGATTGCGTGCTTGCTGACGAGAACAATTACCTATAAATTATTAATTGCCTATTTAACACCATTTTACTACCTCTGAGATGATGATGTTTTCATCTAAACCTTTCACTTTAATGTAATTTATTGAACTAATGTAACATTTGTATCTGAGCCTATGATTACTACCGCGTTGACTAACTCAAGAGATTTTAAAATACAATGTAGGTAATTTTGTTGACTTGGTAATGTTTATAAACCGCCTGGCTTTTTGGGGAAATAGGGAGTGTGGGATTTTTACTTCACTAAAACCTCTCCGGTGGCCACCATTCGCACCTGAAGGAGGCACCGGGTCCTCATAGTAGACCAGCCCCGGCGCCCCAACGGTGCAACGCCTGTTACGGCATCTTCCTATGGATACCTATGTGTCTTCCTAGAGCCACAGTAGTGTGCCCAGAGTCACCATATTAGATATCTACATATCATGTATGATACCTACAAATAATAAATACCTAATGTGGTATCAAAACGCTTATTTATTTCCGTGCCAAATCACCTAAGTAATATTACGTGTGCTTGATTTTATCTCATTCTAAACTTGATTTTTAATCATAATCATAATTATTAATCATATTCATATTTTCATTTGCATTCCATAATGTTTCTTAAGATGTTACATTGGCTTAAAGCTAGGACATAATTATTTTATTATTATTTAATACACATGCTGCAGTGTACTCAGCTCACATAATTCACTTCAGTCCTTTAATGTTAAGCTACGTACGCGGCGGGTTTATGTTACTATCACTATACACTCAAAAATAAAATATTTAGCAACAATTAACTTTTCCAGGGATGCACGGTCTTCCCTTATTCAACTCAGAGGATCGAGGAATACCACTGACGGAGCGTCTTCTGCCTTCATACCTGAAGGAGCTAGGATACGCCACACACTTGGTGGGCAAGTGGCATGTGGGCATGTCCAGGCCGGAGTACCTGCCCACTTCGAGAGGTTACGACCATCATTACGGCATGAGAGGCGGTTATGTAGACTATTACACTTATAATAAAGTTGAAACTGTAAGTATCTTTCAAACTGATTGATGAAATTATTAATGATGTATTAGCCTCGTAGAGTTTATATTGAACAAGATTGGCGACTATGTGTTAAAAAAATATTTTATTAACACATGTATCTCCGATGCCTGATCACATGGAATGTCAACAGGATACAGAATGGTCAGCCGCGAAAAAAATGGCTCGATGCACATTCTAAGACCAAAAGCTTTATACCTTAATGCCATGGCATGGCAACGGCCATTGGTCATGTAAATCATTGGGAAAATCCATAAGAATTTTTTACCGAACTTAGTAAGGCTTTAGTAAAATGAGTCTTATAAAAAATATTGATACAAAAGGTGCGTTGCAGGTAATTAGGTGTGGACACCTAGTAACCGAGCCATGAAATTTTATAAGGCCAAGCAACGCGGATATGCAGTCGCGTTTTGTTAGGCGCGAAAGTACTTTGAAGTGAATGGGTATATTATAAACGGGAAAGTAATTTGGTCTGTAGATTTGTTACCCTTTGACGATTTGGTATTTTATTCTGTTGCACCTAATGAAAATGAGAATAGGACTGCAGATGAAGTCGGAAATTATTATTTACGGTACTGTGTACAGGAGGTTATAAGTTAGTAAAGGAAATTAATCATTACTCATGTACCGGAAATAATAATAATCATCCTCTTTGTAGAAGGAAAAACTATGAAATATATTTTTAAAATTAATTTATTGCACATAACCACGAAGATTGATACAACTATAGAAAAATATAAATTACTCGAAGAAATAATTCTACGCCTATACAGTCAGGAACAACAGTCAGTAGATGCTCAATATCTTCTTAAAATGGCGACTTTAAAAGATCGTTATTTATTTCCAGTGGCCGAATGGACGGCTAATGTACGGTCTCGATCTTCACGATGATGCAATACCTCAGGAGACCGAACACCGGTACATTGTAGACGCACTCACCGACAAAGCAGTCAAAAGTAAGTTTGCACACAAGTTTTTTTACAATAGCATTGTTAAAAATCCAATTACCTTTTGCAACAGTTTTTACGTATTCAATAAAAGAAACGCAAGATTTCATCTTCTGTACTTAAAATTGGGTGTAATTATGCAATTGAAGTATTGCAATATTCATTTGTTTTTTGGTATAGAATTTACTGTGATTGTAATATCCTCAAATTTGTATGTATGGTTAGTTAGAGCCTATTGCAATCATTCAAATATTCTTTGCTCAATGTAATTCTTAAGATTTATTTCGATGGAATCCGGCCTATTGTTTGACAGAAAGACAAGTTAAACAAATTCCCTTAATTATAACATATTTTTACATTTTACCTTTTGAAAGCATTGCAATAATTAGATAAACGACCCAATTTCATAGGCTAACTACCTTTAACTAAGTCCCTTCACTAGGAAACTAGTGATAGATATTTACACTTACATGAATGTCTTGCATAGAAATAAAAGCTTACTTTTCACCAGATATCCAGGCTATCTAACTAATAGGAATGAGGAGCTAAATACCATAATCAGACACCATGCTAGGAATATTAACAAAATTTTGAGTTTTCCGTTTACAATATGTGGTCAGCAGTTGCGGTAGATGTGATGTAGACTGGAGACTGCATCTAGGAAAACGTAGTGTAGGGCGCCCTCCAGCACTAGGTAGAGTGACGATATTCGCAAGGTGGCTGGTAGTGGGTAGATTCGTAGAGCTGAATATCGAACTCAGTTGCGTGCCATTAGAGAGGCCTATGTCCAACAGTAGACGAGAACAGGCTGTTGATGAGTTGCGTTTGCAACTTTTAGCAGTCGTCTCCGTCGTCGTGGTCTCAGTTTAATTTGTGATCTATTTTTCCAGTAATTCAATATCATAATAACTCTCAACCACTATTCCTGCATGTGACACACAACGGACCTCACGCTGGTAATGCTGGTGGTGCGTTACAACCACCCCTCTACTCTGCTGTAAAGAACGACCACATCGCTAACTCCAACAGGCGACTTTATTCTGGTTAGTTAATAATAATCATAAAATGTACAATTTTGCATAACAAAACAAATATTCATCCAATGGTTGACACTGAAACTATTTCTTAAAATCTGTAGTGAAATAAATTACTATACATTCATTTGTCACAACAAATATTTTCAGAGGTGGTTATGGAAATTGACCGAAGTGTTGGCAAGATTGTTCAAGCTCTTGGTGACAAGGGAATCCTTGAGGACACCATCATTGTATTTGTATCTGACAACGGAGCTCCTACAGTTGGAGAATTAAGAAACTGGGGAGTGAACTTACCATTGAGAGGAAAGAAGTACACGCCTTGGGAGGGCGCAGTGAGAGTCCCTGCATTTATTTGGCAAGCCTCACTCAGGCCAAAGGTCTGGCAAGGACTGATGCACATTTCCGATTGGCTCCCTACATTGTTAACAGCAGCTGGAGGGAGAGTTCCAACTGGTATAGATGGAGTTAATCAATGGGAATCCATTATGTTCGATGGAGTGTCTAAACGAAAAGAAGTCCTAATAACTGTTGAAGACAGCAGCACTAACGCTTGGGCTTCTTATAGAGCTGGCGACTACAAAATAATAGTGGGTAATGTTACCGGTGTTAGCAACGGATATTACGGAACAGAACTTATGGTGAACAAAATGCCACCTCCAGAATATTTTCCTGCATTGGGAAATAGTGACGTTACAAGAGTTTTTGGAGAAATTGGAAGGTATCTAGACTTTGACGTCGTAAGGTCTATGAGAAAGGCAGCTACGCTTAGAGCTGATGAGTCTTCGAGGGACGCCACTCCTTGTCTTCCCACACCTAGTAAGTATACCTACTATTAATCTAAGGATAAACTTTTCACACTTCATAGCATACAAAGTGTGGTTTCTTTTGTTTATACACTTTATTTTCATTTCAAATTAGTAGCAGATTTTATTGATTTTAATAAAATAATAATAATTCATAGATGTGTTTATTACAATATAACTAATTTTTTAGCCCGTGGCTGTCTGTACAATGTTAGACAAGACCCAGCTGAGAGTCGGGACTTATGGAGCCGAGCCAACAAGATAGCTACATTATTGACTAGCCGGCTTCGGGCGCTCTGGTCTTCGCAACTAAGAAGGGGACCTCTCAGACTGCAAGCAGCTGCAGATCCTGCAAATTATCGCTATGTCTGGACTCCTTGGATCTGCTGTAATGACACTCGCGACAATTCAATAACGAATGATAAGAAAACGATCGATAACTTGGACTTTTCATTTAATTTCAACCAGGAAAGAGTTCTTAATAGGAACACTACGTTAGCTTCAGTTATAAACTGCGACCGTACAACTGGCCTAAAGAACTTTTTATGTATTTTGAGAAGTATATTTTAGTACCTTGTAATAGAAATTAATCTTCGTTTTCTTTGAAAAGATTGATTCAATAACGTTCTTAAAGACTTTTGTGCTATGCCTGGATCTAATGTGCGTTAGTCATGATGTGTGATGTTTACTGATGTTTTATGAAATGGTACTAGATTGATTTCAAAGAATATTTGTAAATACGTGTAGTTATAGTATATTTTTAAACAACTGTTTGAGTATTTTTGTTATTTGGCCGTACTTACGAAACGGTATTAAAGTAAGTTTGTAGTATTACAATTGTAAAATCATTAGTTTTGTATAAAGTTCTTAGTTTGAAAGTGTAACATATTTTAACTAATCTATTTTTATTGTAATCTTCTATGTTTTTTTTTTGTTATTTATTGTAGATAATATTATAAATTGTATAATTATATCATAGGTCGATGAAATGTTTAAATTTCTAAAAACTTGAATGTTTTTCTCAGATTTTTCTACTTATGTTGTTAGATGTATCTAATTAAGAATGTATTTTATAAATATAAGCATTGCAATGAACTATTAGAACACCGAACGTGTGTGCAATATATTGGCTGGGCCCCTAAGCCAGAGCCGTTCGGGGCCCGCAAAGCTTGGGACCAGTTAACCGATAGGACGATATAACCTGATTGACATATCCAAATGAAAAGTCACTCTATTATTTTCCAATTTTTCATTTTCATTCCTATTAGTTAAGGTCTCAAAACTTTAGGTATATTAAAGTATTTGTTGACGAAATTTCGAAATTACTAAACCTACTTATTCCAAAATTCTAATTAATCCAGTGTTTTATTATATTATAATGATATAAGAATACCACTAATACCTATTATTTTAATCTATTCTGTATCTTTTAACATAAAGTGTGATACTTAGTCTTAAGTATTAAATAAAAATTTTAAGATTTTTCAAACGGACAAAGAAGATTTATTTATCATTTTGTATTTTATTCATTTATACTCATGTGTGCCAGTATTAGCAGAAAATATAAATAAAAATCTCCTGATCGATTGCCATCATGGTGGCCAATGTGTATAACTAGATTAGATTAGCCCACTACGCAGAAGATAATTATTAGGTGCATTCTCTGTTCTCTTACTCTATGAACTCCAATGGGACGGTAGACCGACACAACCAAAAGAGGTCAAGCGGAGAACCAACGGCTTTACGTGCTTTCCGGGGCACGAGGGTGTAAAACCGCCAAACTTCCCGACTCCGGGCTAATAATGGTCATTTTACTTAGAACATGCCATTATCACTGACCAGCGCAAGAATCGAACCCGCGACACATTGTACAGCAACCGGTCACCCGACCACTGTGCCAACCGTACAGTAGTAGAAACAAATGCTGTCACAAATGAGTGATACTTTTTCCAACCAATGATCCAATGATCTTCTGACATTGAATTAGGGACTTTGAGTTTTGGTTTTGCACGATCCATTATAAACATGATATAGTATGTGGTACATTTTCAAATAACCAGGGCCTCACACAATACGATTTTAAGACGTACTAGTGTAACATAACATAAAATAACATAGCATCACGCCTTTTATCCTCGAATGGGTAGACAGAGGTGCACATTATACCTTTACAATGTAATACCCACTTTTCACTATTTATGTTATGAGTCCCATGTAATAGGGAGTGAGCCTATTGCTATATACCGGGCACAATTCCAGACTCCGTGCTGCTACTGAGAATTTTTTAAAACCCAGTAATACTTTGCCCGACCCGGGAATCGAACCCGAGACCCCTTGCTCGGCAGTCGCACTTGCGACCACTCGGCCTACGAGGCAGTCAGCATGTTTTTTTATCTTTATTAATTTAGAGACTTTTGATCACATAAAGACCATGCCAGACCCATCATACCCTAAACAGGTTTAACAAAACTCACATTAACTTAAATAATGAACATGATTAGTAATTTTGGTGAAAAGTTTTCCGTTAAAATAGTAGTCGTTAGTCCCAGTTAGTGTGAAAATGTGCGGCATTGGGTTCAAGTGGAACGTTTGACAAGTGCAATATGTACGCAAAGTTGCGGTGAACGGTCGACAACGTTCGTTCCTGTTTCTGCGAACCGTTTTAAAATGGATGGATCGACTGACTGAATATTTTATATATAGATATAGGAGATATTTATTTTGAAAGCTTACAAATATTTTTTTGTATATATTCACTTTTAAATAGAGTACTAAAACAGTATTACAAACTTAGATTCTTCTCAGTCAGAGAAAGATGTAAAAATTATGTGCAATTTATTACGTGGTATGGACAGAATATTATTTTACAAAAATGCATCTCGTGTACATAAAATGTAGATATAATATCTTTGGAATGTGCAATGAAATATCAAGCAATCGTTTTGCCAAATTGTTGCCATGCTGCCTTAGATTTTGTGACATTTACTGAACGTCACTTATAGTCACCTTTGGTCACTCTTTGGTCCGATACTGTCCAAGTTAACACCGACGTTCCCGTGGCCGTAACGACTAAAGTTGGCCATGTGATAATGTTGCTGATGAGTTATTGGATGACCCAGATGTTCGCTTGTTTGGTTCCCGACAACTTGCATAATTATTAGTGCTCGAGTTTAGCACCAGCCTAAACTTATTATCAGCGAAGCTTGATGACCTTTTTGTAAAGTAATAATAATAATCTTTATTGTGCATCTTAAAGCATTATGAACATAAATGCAGGCCTGCCGTAAACGAGCGTGCAAAGCGTGTACAGCACACGGGCGCAAGATCATGGGGGAGGCAAATCGAGCGACTCATTACCTACTATTCAAAATCATTGTCCAGAGTAAGCAGAAAGCATAACATATATCATCGCGAAAAATCCCACTCGACGTAAGCAATATAAGCCTTATGACTATCTATCGTCATCTATATGGACAGGATATGTAAATGTAAATACATAAAAGAAAAATACGTAAATAAATAAAAATAAAATATAAAAATATATCGGATAAGAGACAGCAGAGAAGAAAGAAATAAGAAATAGTAAGTAAGTATTGGTTATAGATGAGACGTTTTAGGACTTTACAAAAGAAGGGTAAAATAGAAATAGGACGATAGTCGGAAAAGGACTCATGATTCGGTTTTTTAGGATTTGCGCTTACTTCCAAGCAGAAGGGAAAACGTAACAAGATAAAAAATAGTTAAGGATGTGGCAGATGACAGGAAGACAAGGGATCTTATGGCTAATACAGTCACTCCTAACCGCATTGGAACTGATGGAAATTATACTCTTCCTAACACCACAAGCTGTGAGTTGATTAAGGAAAAATGGTGGATAGCCAGGAACAGAAAAAAGATAGTTTAAGGTTTTAACCTTGGTAAACCCATTAATATAGAAGAAGAAGAATAGTATTTATTGAGGAATTCGAAATCTGCATCCTTACACATTTGTGGCTCCGATTTCGAGTTGCAATATACTATTGACGGATCATCGGATTAGGTAGGCGTTGAAATTTATAGTATTCATATCATTGCGTCTTCTCATTAGTATTCATATCAATTTCTCTTCGTTAGTTGTGTGATGACTCCAGTTAAAAAGAACCTGAGGTATTTGTAAAGCACTGATAGATGCAAAAGCCGAATTATCACTTTACGCGAGAGACATATAATCTTCTAGTGCAATTTGTCTTGCTTGGATGCACAAACCTAAGGAGGTATTAAAAGCCTAGTTAGAGTTCCAGCCATTGCTCTCATTGATAATATGATAAGACGAGATTGCCTATATCTGCTCTGTGCCTTCATCCAAACGCCACTTTAGCGCCTGTCTACAGAGAGAGTAGAAAACTAAATGTATGGGGACGACATTGAGAAGTGTCAAAATTTACGTCAATTCCATATAATTTGGTTTTATAATCTACATGAAGACAAGCGCTAAATAGCATTTGGCTACAGCTGCTGCTCTTCTGTTTTATTCATGACAAAAGAAATCAGAAACACGTGAAAGCAACGTCAAACATTATTTCACATGCGTTTTATAAAACATTATTTATTGTCCATGATTACATCTTTTATTACATGCCGGATAACTTCAAGTTTATTTGTTAGACCTATAATAAAGTGATGTTTTTATGACTGTAATTTAGCTAGATAAATAAATCGTATTATAAAGACTTTATGCTAAATTAAAACTGTACACTCGAAGTCTAGATACAGATTCAGGTAGATATTATTGTTTTTGAACATTTTTACGTGTTAAGTAATTGACATTAAACTCATTTTCATGCAAGAAGTTTTTTTACACCCAAACCCCAATTTATTTGGGGTCGGCATGATAAGCCTTCTTTATCCAATTTAACTCATCAGTTATCGTTCTTTTGTATTGTTTCCTTCATTTGTTGCTTAACGAAGACATACATTTTCTTCAAACGTATAGTCTATAGTTATGTTTACTTACAGACTTTGTAAGTTTAAAATGCTTTGTGTATAATTACAGTGTATATAATAGACAATATGTCCGATAAAAATGGACAGACAGTCTCTAGCTAGTCACGTTTCATAGCAATTACACCGGATTTTGGTACTAAGACACAGGTAAATCCGTATTTTAGCTCATCTACCTGCGTAGTTGTTTAGTCTGGTTTGGGACTGGTTAATTTGATGGAAACCGGTCAGAAGGTTATTTATTTCGTGATCAATTATTGTTTATTCATTTAATTCACAGCGATACATCATTTGTAACTAAAATAACAGTCTACTAAACCGCGAAGCAAATTGTCCGCAGTTTCTCGTGGATTTCTTGAAACCTACTTACTTAATTTACTTAATCTTATAGAATGGGAGTCCATAGTGTGCTGCAATTCCTCATCATTGCTGGCTTCATAGCGTCATTCAGTGATGCGAGTAAGCCAAACATCGTTTTTATACTAGCTGATGATTTGGTAAGTTCTGTTTTATTAATCGATCAATTTCAATAAAATAATAACACAGACAAAATATATAAGATAAACTTTTAATCAATTTTTAATTAAGGGCCTAATGCTTAAATCTGGAAGGTATTATATTTCTAATTTTTTTTGTAGCAGCATAAAGTTTGAAAATTGTGACTTTTCAAAAACGTTTGTGTGTACTATAAAAACCACTCTCACACTCCGAAAAATAGAGTGATGTTATGTTATGTTTAAGGGATGGAACGATGTCAGCTTTCACGGCTCTGATCAAATTTTGACACCAAACATTGACTCCTTGGCGTATTCCGGAGTAGCATTCGGGAGGTACTACAGCCACGCAATATGTACTCCTTCACGATCGGCACTCCTTACTGGAAAATATTCATATAAGACAGGTATGAAATATTTAGAGGTATTACTGTTTTTTGCAATTATTCTGTTTTTGCACGATATTTTATACACGATATATTATTACTCAAGCTGTTTTTACTAAAGTAAATTACGGTGAGACGAAAAGTTTAGGTAACCATAATTTTTTTATTAAAAATCGTATTTTAAATAAATTGTTGCCATAATGTTTTCTCGACATAATAGATGGCGCTCATATAGATCTAGAGCAAGTCGGTTCTTAAAAAATACGTCCCTATATTTAAAAGTTCTAGTATATTGTTTGTTTAAACTGTCAAACACCAAGCGGTCACCGGTGACCGCGACCTATTGTTCTTTAATTGTGTCTATAAAACCGGTACTCGACGAGTTAAAGTAAATCCCTTTCCCTTTGACCTACTTGTACATGTTATCATGAATGTATATTCCAGGAATGCAAGGTAATCCCCTGGGAATGAGTGAAGATAGAGGTATCCCAACCAATGTGAGGTTATTACCACAGTATTTCAAAGACGTCGGTTATTCTACTCATTTGGTTGGTAAATGGCATGCTGGCAGTTCCAGGCGAGAATATTTACCAACCAGCAGAGGGTTCGATAGTTACATTGGACATAGGGGTGGTTACATAGATTATTATGAATACACTATTAAAGAAGATGTAAGTATATTTCTCTTATTATTACCCCCATAAAAGTTGCGACACATTAAATATTGATTTGAAAATGTTATGTTTTGCAGTCATCTTGTAAGCATATCTAGACGCTCTTCGATTCCTTGTAACGTTTTGCTTTCATCAACAAAAGCATCGCGTGATTTAAAATATTTCTGGTTTTAGTGGGAGGACGGCCAAGTTTCAGGATTAGCCTTGTTTAGAAATCTGACTGCGGCTTGGGACGTTGAAGGTTACATCACTGATGTTTACACAGATGAAGCTATCAAAGGTAAAATTTTAGGTTAAGGAAATGTTCCCAAATCGTACTTTAAACACTTCTTATATTTAAGTATGTGGTTCTTTATAATACTTTACTTAATTTCAGTTATTGATGATCACGATTCATCCACTCCTTTATTCCTGATGGTTACCCACAACGCTCCTCATGCCGGCAGCGATACCGTTGCCCTGCAGGCACCATCAGAAGTAGTTAGACAGATGAGGTACATTGAGTCACCCGACAGAAGGATATTTGCTGGTAATAATTACATTTTAACAAATCTATATATGTATATCAACCTTTTTATTACCATTACATGCAACTTTTAATTTTAGCCATGGTAAAGAAACTCGATGATAGTGTTGGCGATATTGTTAAAGCTTTACAAGACAAGGGAATCTTACAAAACACAATCATTGTGTTCGCTGCTGACAACGGAGGTATGACGACAGGGCTTTATGCCAATTATGCTTCTAACTATCCGTTGAGAGGAATCAAAATGTCACCATATGAGGGTGGCGTGAGAGTTGTCGGGCTACTGTGGAGTGCAAACTTAAACAATACGAGTCATTATTGGGATGGATACATGCACGTCACGGATTGGTTGCCTACTTTATTGCGTGCTGCTGGTGTAGAACCTCCCACAGACGTCGATGGAGTTGATCAATGGGAAAGTATAAATTCTAACTCAGCATCACAAAGGAAGGAAATGTTTGAAATCGATGATTACACAGGATATGCATCGATAACATACGGAGACTATAAGTTGATAACTGGTAAACCCGATGAAAATCACAGTGGTTATTTGGGCGGTGATCTAAGAGGCGTTATTGATAGTCCACCTTCATATGTTGATGCTATCGCGAATAGCAAAGTGTATGGTGCACTTCACTCAATTGGTCGAACTATTGACACGAACTTCTTGACTTTGAGGAATAAGACGATAATTAATTGCGATGTATCTGCAACGTCTATATGTTATCCTAGTAACAGTAAGTGTCTTTCAGCGATATACTCTAAATAAACTTTATTAGTCAATTCTACTATGTGATGTATTTAGTCAAGTGTAGTTATATATCTAAGCCATATATCTAAGTAATAAATTTTATCATTTTCAGATACGGTATGCCTCTTCAATATAATAGAGGATCCATGTGAAACAACAGATTTGTCTGGTACTTACCCAGAATTGGTGGCGAGCATGCAATCATTATTAGATGTTGAAATGACAAAGATGATTCCCAGAATTTTACCGACTGTTATCGACCCTATGTCTGCACCTAGCTTACATAACTTTACATGGGATACTTGGATTGATTGAGTTTTTTGTACATACAGTAGCAGTAGGTATAAGTGTTTATTGTTTGTGTCCTTAGTTGTAAATAAGTATTACGTTCTTTGGTACTTCGATTTTCGTAAAGAATATAATCCTGTCGTAAAAATTACGGAAATGTTCGTAGCAACTGCACTGATACTTGTATTTATTAATAAATCAATATAAATAAAATTGATAAACTATCAGACTTTTCTTTCTTGCTATAATAAAATTAATGCAAACGTTTATTACTTGCTGACACGTGTTGAAGATTAAAATGTTGGGTATACCTAATCATCGTGATTTTTAAAATCGGTGTCTTCTTTACCTCGTTTGCAAAGACAGGAATTAATTTCCTTTATTTAATTTCATTCACACTTAGACTTAAAGGAATGACGCTTCCATTTTATACCGACCAATTAAAGAAGATTGTAAAGGTAGTTCTTTATTTCAAATACAGAAACCAACATAGCAATTGTTTTTTCCCAGATATTGCAAACTGGGTGATTTGTGTGTGATATATAAACCCACGACACGGAAGAATATTCTAATGAGCTAGTGCCACCACTTATTTAAGAAAAAAAACTAAACAATGCAGCTTCTGAGAGAAATCTAAGAGCAAAATTAAGCATTACTACTAGACAAACTAGATGCAGAGAGATGCGATATCTTAAAATGACGGATCGCGTGTCACAGTCCAAGCATAATATTTATACAGTGCGAACGTGTTTACTTTAAATAACATTATTAATTAATTAACTATTAACACATTTAAAATAATCATTCATTAATAGATAAACAGTTTTGAAATTGCTAGTGAATTATTATTATTTATTGGTATATTTTTTGTGTTTGAGTGAGAGTAGCTATGTTATCAATAATAGTGACTATTGCAATAGTGGCATTAGTTTGTAAAGCTGATAAGCCGAATATCGTGTTTATTATTGCTGATGATTTGGTGAGTTATAAATCATTTGTTTATTGATGTTTATATCTTAATTGCTGTGAACGTCACGTGAATTGGGTGGATATAAATATCAAACTGTCTCGTTGGCCGAGTGGTCGCAAGTGCGACTGCCGCGCAAGGTCTCGGGTTCGATTCCCTGGTTCGGCAAAGTATTACTGGGTTTTCTAAAAATCTCAGTAGTAGCACGGAGTCTGGAAATGTGCCCGGTATATGTAAGCTCACCCCCTATTACATGGGACTCATAACATAAAAAGTGTAAAGTGGGTGTCCATCGTGTGTAAAGTGTGTGAAAAGTGGGTGTACATTGTGGGTGGTACATCGGCATTAACTCGTCGAGTACCGGTTTTATAGACACAATTAAAGAACAATAGGTCGCGGAAACTGTCAAACACCAAGCGGTCACCGGTGACCGCTTGGTGTTTGACAGTTTAAGTGTCGTAATGTCTACTGCCTACCCCTTCGGGAATAAAAGGCGCGATGTTATATTATGTTATAAATTTAAAATTAAATGTATGCGTCAATGCTTGACAAGTAATTTTGGAGTTTTGCTGCATGCAACTTTCTGGAGTATGTTATATTGGAGTAAACGTATTTTTCACGCGAATTATAAGCATTTATCATTATATCAAATCAAGTTTTATGTTTTCACTTACGTCACAACCACTTTTTGCCAGTTGTGTGTCTCATATACCGGGCCCAATTCCAGTCACATATGTATGTACTTATTTCAAAATGTGAAAGTAATACTTTGTCCGATCGAGATCCTGGAACGGAGTTCATAACCTTCTGTTAAATATGTGCTAGTCATTACGAGTGTATGACACGAATGTTATAAACGTGAAGAAGCTTAAGGTTAACGACCTATTTATCGTGAAAAATATCACATACCGTTCTCGTAACATTTGTAAAAATACAAATATGAGAGCGATGAATAGCAATCCTGATACTAATACATTTGTGTGTATAATAATATGTAATCAATACCGTAAAACTAGTACTCCGAGATATTACACAAACATTGATTAAAATGACTTGGCTAAGTCCAAGAACACAATAGATGTATTATCTATTTACATTAAATTTAATTATTCATTGTGCAGTAAATGAGAAGCTGTTAGAGTTAGTTTACATATTTAATTTTAAACATCAGATTGTATAATAATATATCCATTGGGGGATTCAGGTGAGCGATTCTTATAGTTCGAAACCTGCCTTATATATCAACAATGTAAAACTAGTTATATCTATTTTAGGCTTATCATGAAACTCATAATATAACTGATATATAAATAGGTTGCACTTGCTACGCTAATACAATGATCAGTGATTCTTGATGATTCCTTTTCTGTATGAGATGAAGCCTGTACGTTGTAGAGGTACTGTTTACAGTCGTAACTTTAGGACTTCTTTTATTTGTTAAAGGGATGGGATGACGTCAGTTTCCACGGATCGGATCAAATTTTAACCCCAAACATTGACTTGTTGGCGTATTCGGGAGTGACGCTCGGGAGATACTACAGCCACGCGATATGTACTCCTTCACGATCGGCACTCCTTACTGGAAAATATTCGTATAAAATCGGTAATGTAATTAATACTTTAATTTAAGTTTGATTGATTCAATTTGATGATGAAACTGGTAAAAGTGAAAAAAAAGAACTAACTAATGGGGCATAAACTCTATTAACGCGGGGGAAGCCGGTGCTAGTAGAAGTTAAGGCCCGGTTTCTACCAAAGCGGAGACGAGAGGAGATGTATCAATTTTCTATAGAATTTTGTGCGGCCAGCAAACAATTGGCGTGGCAGAGCGGAGAAGGTGTCTAGTTGAGTGACCGGATAACTTTCCGCGCCTTACACATCCGAATGCGTCATTCGATTGACGTTGAATACTCATTTTGTCATCTCCTCTTTGCTGTTATGGAATTAACCTGCCAGCTTCGTAGCACATCTCCTCTAATCTCCTCTTCACTAGGGTTGAAACCGAATAGATTGATATAATTTTGATTAAAATGAACAATTTGCTTCTTTCAACTACAATTTACGAAAGAGGAAAATTTACTGTAGGTGGACTCTTCCTAAGTTTTATTACTCAATTCTACTACAATGAACAAAGGACACATGTGAAACTGTGGGAATTAATTTTTTTAACTAAAATTACATAATAATTAAATGACTTTAAACTTAAAATTAAAATTTAACTTTATTTTCTTTTTTTTATGGGATAAACCGGTAAACGAGCAGACGGATCACCTGATGGTAAGCAATCGGCGTCGCCCATGGACACCTGGAACACCAGAGGCGTTACAAGTGCGTTTTGGGATTAGGAATTTGAGGATTGTTGGAGATTTACACCCAAACCCCTGTAACCTCACTCACACGACGAAACACAACACAACGTTGTTTCACGTCGATCTTCTGTGAGGCCGTGGTATCACTCCGATCGAGGCGGCCCATTTATACCGAAGCATGGCTCTCCCACACTTATTATTTAATTGATGCTATTTCTTAGTATTATGTTGGCTAGTTTAGTTTGATCGTTAATGAATTACTGTAGAAAAAATATTTTCCTTTCTTCAGGAATGCAAGGCTATCCTCCATTGACAATGAGTGATGACAGGGGGATACCGATGGATTTGAAATTATTGCCGCAATATTTCAAAGACATTGGCTATTCAACGCAGTTGATTGGCAAGTGGCATGTCGGTGCTTCGAGAGCAGAATATTTGCCAACTAACAGAGGTTTTGACAGCCATTTTGGCCATCGAGGAGGCTACATGGATTATTATGAGTACACTTATGAAGAGTTGGTAAGGATATATTCAGATAACCAATTTGTCCACAGATGAAGTTGTGTGATGTAGGACTGACATTCTGACCACAATCACTATTAGAGACTTTTAAAATTGAAAATTGTGGAGGTTTTCACAAATTTACAACATTTGACCTTAAAAGAATAAATTATTCGATAAACATCTTTATTACATTCATATCTAGATCTTTATCTTTGACCTAAAATTGAACAGATAATTAGTCTGTAATTTAGCCTGAGATTATAATTATTAGCATTGAACTTATTACTCATTAACGGAATTCAGTATGTCTATCGGTTGTTTATACCTACCTCTACATAACTCGAAGTTAAATTAAATTTTGCTTACTACCAACGTCGGTATTCCCAAGGCAGCATAATAGGTCCACCTCATTTCCAATAACATACAAAATTGCACATAACTACTAAAAACAACAGGTTTTTAAATTGTTACTTGTTTGATTTAAATAGATATTTTTCTCATAATAACATTATAAATTTAGGTGGTAAGACGTTCATATAATTTGCATATTTTTTTTAGTGGTCTATCGGTCATGTTTCTGGTATGACATTATTTAGAAATTTAACACCCGCGTGGGACGTGGAAGGATACATCACTGACGTCTATACAGATCATGCAGTATCTGGTAAGTTTTATGACTTTCTATATTTAATGTCCAACCCAATGATGTCAATAAACTTAGGTATTTTTGCATTTTATCAGACGTATACATAAACATAGCATTCACATTCAAAAATGGGTCAAAGGCGGTCATTATCACTGAATACGATATCTTCTAGACAACCTTCTCAACAACTGTTTATAATTTTTGTTTGGTTCTAGTTATCAAGAATCATGACACATCGTCTCCACTATTTCTGATGGTTGCTCATAACGCACCTCACTCGGCCAATGACGGTGCCCTGTTGCAAGCGCCACCAGAAATTGTTCGACAGATGAGACATGTGGAGTCACCTGAGAGGAGAATATTTGCAGGTATGTACATAAATAGTAACTCTTGGAATAAAATTATGTTTAAGTATGCAAAAAATCGAATTTGATTTTGCCTTACAGCCATGATGAAGAAACTAGATGACAGCGTTGGTAATATCGTTAAAGCGTTACATGATAAAGGCATTATACACAATACAATAGTAACATTCATTTCTGATAATGGAGGCATGTCATATGGACAGTTTAATAACTTTGCCTCTAATTATCCATTCAGAGGAATTAAATTAACACCTTATGAAGGTGGTATAAGAGTAGCTGGGTTACTATGGAGTACAAATTTGAACAATACGAGTCATTATTGGGATGGATACATGCACGTCACGGATTGGTTGCCCACTTTGTTGAGTGCTGCTGGTGTAAAACCTCCACCAGATATTGATGGAATCGACCATTGGAAGAACATTAACTCTAATTTGCCTTCAGAACGACAAACGATGTTTGAAATCGATGATACCTCAGAATATGCTTCAGCAATATATGGAGATTATAAATTAGTGACGGGTGACGTCGACAAGGGTTATGGTATTCACCAAGGCAATAATCTCACGGGAATAATTGGTAAACCACCGTCTTACGTTAAAGCAATTTTGGACAGCACAATGTACAGAGTCCTTGACTCAATTGGATTAACCTTCAATACCGCCAACTTGAGTCTGAGGAACAATACAACAATCAAGTGTGATGTATCGTCAGTTCCGTTATGTCATCCAAGCAAAGGTAAGATGAAATTGCTTTAAAAGTTATATCTCAAGTCATAAAGCAAATTTTTATATGTCCGTTAAACGTCATATTGAATCCACAACCAGAATAAAGTTTCATATTAAATCTTTTAAAAATGATTATGTATGTTAAATATTACAGTTATCAAAATTTATTTATTTGTTTATCCGTTAATGGATATAAATTGTTGAATTTTATGTAAAAAATTTCAGAGACATCATGCCTTTTCAATATAAAAGAGGATCCGTGTGAAACGAGGGATTTGTCAGCGACTTATCCCGACTTAGTGTTAAGAATGCAAGCTCAGTTGGAACAGGAGGTGAAAAAAACAATATTTAGAAAAGGACCAGTGTTTAGAGACCCGTTGTCTGCTCCCAGTCGGTTTAATTACACTTGGGACGTTTGGGTCAAGTGAGGTGGCTAAATCTGTATTAGATACATAATAATCATTTAGTACAGCCGGTGTTTATTTGTAAACCAGTGTATTACATTTCATGAAGCATTCGAGGCTCAGTCCCTGGTCAATTGATTATGAAGCACTTTTATAGAATATTTTTGTATAAGTACCTCTTTAAAAATAAGTAGAAGAATGCCTTAAAAAAGGTTAGTTCTGATTTTTTGCTGTTAGAAGAAAGCATAGCAATGTTATGAATAATTCTTATAGTTCAGCTTTGTAGTGAGTTCCAGGGTAGAGATTGTTCAAATATTTATACTCGGATATCACTGGCGAGGTCTTGCTTGAGTCTTGTCCTTACATTTTTCATTGTCGCTGATTGTGTAAGCATGTATGCCTTTCGTGGGCATTGCGATTGCGATCTCGTCTTTGTCTAGAATATTGCCATTTATGATCTAAATAATGACGAGTACATAAATATTATTTGACGTGTAAATTTATGTTTACTGTTTTTTTATTTATTAATTTGCCTCAGGTATTTTGGCCCATAATTAAAAAATACAATACTGCAATATTTTTCGCATAATAATATGTTTTTTTTTTGCTCAAGCTGTATTTGTATGTTCCACAATGATTTAATGCAAGCTCTTTGTTTTAAAAGGATTGTTGCTTTAAAAGGATTTTAATCCTTTTAAAGCATTTGTAAATATTCGGATATTTAAAATAGTATTGCAGTGTTGGTCATTCAGATCGTATGAAAATTGTTTTTTATACAAAATGGCTACCAATTTTATATCGCAATTAAATTATTGTTAAAGCTATTACGATTGGTGAAAATGTTTTTTCACTGCCTTTTTTTATTAAAATACAACATTTATAGTAACGTATTTCATTCTTAAAATTAATATACTTACTCTGATTAAATTGTAGATAATGCCATGTATTATGCCTTTTCACTATGTATGTTACGAGTCCCATGGAATAGGAGATGAGCCAATAGCCATATACCGGGCACAATTCCAGACTCCGTGTTACAACTGAGAATCTTTTAAAAACACGGTAGTACTTTGCCCGACCCGCGTTTCGAACTCAAGACCCCTTACCCGGCCCCACTTGCGACCGCTCGGCCAATGAGGCAGTAAGTATGTAAATAAATACTTAAAAATATTTTTATAATAACTATCGTGTGACATGCTAAATTAACTAAAGTGAGATGCGCGACGTCGCCGCGACCGCGCACGCTGCTCATGAGAAAGAATCCTTGTGTGGTTCGAAACTAGTAGAGCTTTTATTAGTATATTTACGTGAGTAATCCGCGATTTTAGTTAAAATACTTAAAAATATTAAAAGTCAGTAAATACTGATACATAACCATTGTTCGATCAGAAATTATCATTTTCACTTTCCTTCCTTTTTTACAACACTGTAAAATGACGATATATAAATTATAATAATAATAAAGGTCTTCGATAAAAACAGGGGTCCGACACGTATCACAGTTAGGACTAGGGAAGACACTCAATATTTTTACAACATGATAAAATATATAAAACCCAACGTGCATAAAGATAATAATATATAAAATATATTTTGAGCTGCCATAAATTATGAATGCTGATTTCTACGATAGATAGGGATTAAATATTTGATTATAAGAATACTAATACCTAATTTGCAGTTAAGTAAACCTTATCACTTCAGATAACATTTTAACTACACAAAAATAAAGAAAATCAGGAAATTACGAGAAAATGTAGATATGAAATTATTAAAATGTTAAGTTATTATAACTTAAATATTTACATAACATATTTATGCTATATTTACGGTAATATATAGATGAAAATATTTCATTATATTGTGTATCTAGTGCTTCGAGTGCGGTTTACTAATCTATTGGCACTGTAGGATAAGAAGGTAGGTACCTATTTTGTTGTACATATAGAATTATATATATTTTATACCTATTGATACGTATAAGTGCTTTTATTTGCAAAAAGCACTTATACGTATCAATTTTTAAAAAAGATAAAGGTTAAGATATTTTCTACATTTCCTAACTTACTACTCTGAGAAGAAATACCGAAAAAAACTCAGAGGTCCACTTCTTTTTAAGTACAGACTGTTTGTGTAATCACTACATAGTATAAAACAAAGTCGCTATCCATCGTCTGTCTGTCCCTATGTATGCTTAGATCTTTAAAACTACACAACGGATTTTGATGCGGGTTTTTTTTTTAGGTTTAGAGTGATTCTTAAACTGTGTGACAAACACCGGTGACCGCAACCTATTGTTCTTTAATTGTGTCTATAATGACGGTACTCAAAGGGTTAAGGAAGGTTTATATATGTATAATACATGCATACTGCACCCGTGCTAAGCCGGGGCGGGTCGCTAGTGTTATATAAGCAAATGTTTGTTTTTTAAACGGTGCCCCTAACTTTTGCTCATCTTAAGTAGCTATTTCAATAAATTTAGCTATTTCCACTCAGTTTAGTATCTTAGGTACGTAAGTACCACTACGCCTGAGATTCGCCTAATGTGCTAATCCTCAAGTGCTAGGTGCTTCGGATTGCAAATCGATATCAATTAAGACCAAATTCTGTGAACTGTAACTATCATTTCTAGCAACGAGCTTCTTCATTAAAGTAAGCGTTAATTGCAAGCTAATGAAAGATCTAACCGTAAGATTTATTTAAATTATGCAGATTTAGATACTTTTTATGAAATTAATTTGCATTGTAATGTGACTGTAACGCATGATGCTGATACGCTATCAAGTTCAAGTTGAATTTATAGATTTAGCTATTTTTGTTATTATCTTATATTTTATTATTTGTTATACTCTCATTATTATTATTATTTCCGTTTATGCTCTGCATTTCTCCCATCGAGTGGGGTTAAAATAGGCACGGGCCGAAGCCAAGTGCTAAATAGAAGTGCTATACTTAGGTATTTAAAAACTTGCGGGTAAGACGGCATGTATTCAGAATAAAAATAACCGCAGGTTCTTGTATTTAGATTTGTGACAAAAAGGTAGGTGCGCCAGATGAACTCGTTCATCTCTGTCGTCCATCTCATTCGCGCGCGAACTTGACCAGAGGTGGGTGCAGGATTGTTAGCTACTGCCTCCTGCACAACATCCATGGCTGCAGAATTAGTATAAGAAAGTGAAGAAATTAAGGAATAATCAGTGTTGTAGTTTAGAAAGGAGAGAGGAGAAGAAGGAAGTGAAGGAAACAGGAAAGTTGAGGATGATGGTCTGCTGGTAACTTGTTTAAGTGACCCGGTAGGAGCCCGCTGACTAAACTCAATATCACCGATTATTATTATTTATATCTGTATTATATAAAGTTGAAGAGTTTGTTTGAAAGCACTAATCTCAGGAACTACAGGACCGATTTAAATAAAATATTTTTGTGTTGGTTTGTCCATTTACCGAAGAAAGCTATAGGCTATAAAACATCACGCTACGATTAATAGGTGCCGAGTAGAGTGAGACAAATATTTTTAAGAATGTCTTAAAATCAAGTGGTATTTGGATATTTGAACATTAGTCCTATTTATTTAGAGTTTGAAATACATTTTCAGCTTAATGTTTTGCCAAGGTGAACTAGATTATACTTATCCAAAGAAAAATCTATTTATCGGCTAATAGTAGGTTGGATAAGCCATAGGTCAAGGTTCCTATTTTCAGCAACTCACTACTTAGGCAAGCAGAACTATAAATCATTTAGAAGTTTTCTTAAGTTCAAGGTAAAAGGCTATTACTTTGAAGTACCTAGGTATTTTTGAGTGTGTATAACTCGCATGCAAGTTAGAAAATAAAGAGTATCTCTATTGTATGATGTAGGTACAGCGGTTACAGTGCGTGGTAACCGCAGTACTGATTGAATGCAACGACTACAATAGGGTAGTTGCCAGGGTAGGAAAATTAAAAATCGAATTAGTCCGTCAGTTAGATAGATAATGAAATATAATATAATGATCGTATAACGTTACAATACTTAGATAAAATGGCATTAACTCGTTGAGTACCGTCATTATAAAAACACAATTAAAGAACAATAGGTCGCGGTCACCGGTGACCGCTTGGTGTTTGACAGTTTAAGGACGGAGTGGAGGTAAGTAGTTTCCAAAATGTAGCACGCTGTGAGTCACACGATTTTTCAAATGAATATATCGTCGAAAGTATTTGATTTTGTGAGAAAAGAAAAATACGTGTCTAATGTTTTAAATCAATCTATCAGACGGACATTAAAATAAAATTTAGGAACCTATTCGTTAAAAACACATCATTTAGAATGTCTATCTCTAAGCGAATCAATTTTTATTTCATCACCTGTTTACCAAATGACTTGGCTGCCTGTACTTGCTTGTCTATATATGTATATAAAAATGAATCCATTTTTCCCTTGGTCACGGCATCACGCGTGAATGGCTGGACCGATTTCACTATATTTTTTTTTGTTGTATTTGGTATTATTAGGAGAAGGTTTTTAGGGCAGAAAAATCCTGAAAATCCTTCGGGAATAATAAAAAACGGGATTGGGGGCAGAAGCTAATTCTTGATATTTTCAAAAAGCTAATAGATTTTTTTTCTATACATGGAATTTCCATCGGTGCATAAAATGGTTGTGCTTTTTCCTTTAACGATTTTACAACAAGGAAACTACATTACCTAGTTTGCACTAGCTCTGTGCCGTAGTTTCACTCGCGTACTTCGTTCGTGGCGTGTGTGATGTTAGTTTTATTACTTTCCACGAAAGCAGTCTGTCAATAGTAAAAAGATTTTAACGACTGGTTGGTTAGTTCGAAAGATTTGTGAATGAACATTTTTAAATCACAAGTTAGGTACTACTGAAAAGATTATAATAAGATTTAAGGAAAAGAATTTGGTAAAAATCATGATTAATTGAATTGGGTACTTGCCAACAAATCAAATGCTTCTTTCGTCTATACTTTTTCGAACTGTCAAAAACGACACGTACGAAATTATGTATTGTGACGACACATTTTT